AAAATCAGTGATACCTTGAAATTTAATAAACGTATAGTAAATATAAAAATAACTATATGATAATATAATATTATATAGCATAATATATTATATTATTATATAATAATATATAATAATATAACTAGGGCCGGGGATTTAGTTCAGTGGTTTTGCCGCCTGGTGTGCAAGCGCAAGGACCTGAGTTTGATCCCCAGTACCAAACCAAACCAAACCAAACAAAACAAAACTATAAAATAATTTGTGTATAGTACATAAATATAAAAAAACTCATTGGAGATTAGTATTTTGAACTTTAGAAATGGTTGGTGATTCTTAACTTTCAAGAGACATTCCGCAGTTGAGTAAAAAGCTTAGTGTGTCCAGCTTTGCAATTGTAGTTCATGTTGTATAAATTATTTGGGCATTTGTTAACATAGTTATTTTTATTTTTTGTCTGGGGCTGGGGTTAAACTTAGGGCCTTGTGCATGCTAAGTGTGCACTCTAATGCACAGCTACATCCTCAGCCCTAATGTAATTCAAATTTTGAACTACGTTTTACACCATAAGATACTCTAGTTTTATGTTATTTCAACAACTTTATATAATACCAGTGATTTTAGTTGGCTTAATATAAACTTTCTTCCTACTGCTGGGGATCAAACCCAGCGCTTTGTGCATGATAGGCATGTGCTCTATCATTAAGACATATTCCTAATTTTATTATAAAGCATCTTTATAGTTAGGACACTTTTGTCCTTTTCTTTAAATTCCTATCAGTGGGTGAACAGTGCCCGTGTTTTTGGTTTTCAGAATACTGGCATGCAGTTTAGTGCTCTGAAATTAGCTCTTTTGTTGTGCAAAGACTATACTGCAAGACATATTTCTGAGAGTTTTGACTTCTTTGCTTGATAACATTTGATACATACAATAATTGCCATTTGTTGTCAAATTTTGAATTTTTTTTTGAATTTTAACTATAGAAGCATTAAAAACTTTCTGCTCTGAAGCACATAACAATAATTCATATATAGTAGCTGCAGAAGTAGTGAGAAATGGTGGCTACATATGTTGTGATGGTAAAGCTGACAGACCATGTGTAGAGTATGAAAAAAAGAGTCAAGGTAACTACAAGTTATCAGATCAAAAATTTTCTCAACTCAGTGGCAGAATGATCTGAAGAGGCCTGAGTTGGATCATTTCTTGGAACCCTTTCAGTGGCTTTTCTACCTCAAAGTAAAAGCCAAAGTCCAAGTGTAAGAAGCTCTATGTAATTTGTTCTGTGTGCCTTTACCACACAGTAAAGATGCCTTAGCTGGGCGTGGTGGCCCACGCCTGTAATCCCAGCACTTGGGAGACTGAGGCAGGAGGATCGCCATGAGTTCAAAACCAGCGACTTCAAAACAACCCTGAATTACAGAGCAAGACCCTGTCTCAACCCCCCCCCCCCCAAAAGACTAAGACTCCTTGCAGTCTCCCTGCTTACTCAGTCCAGGAAAGGGAGGCAAAGGTCTAGGTTCTCTTTCACAAGCATGAAGCTTTTCTTTCCTTCTTGCTTTCTTTCTAATAATTCTTCCATAACGAGCAACTAGAAAAGTTTTCTCAAAATGTGAATTGTCAGGGCTGAGGATTTAGCTCAGTGGTTTTGCCACCTGCCTTGCAAGTGCAAGAACCTGAGTTCGATCTCCAGTACCAAAAAAAAAAAAAAAAAGTAAATTGTCTTATTATCCCTTACTCAGAGCTCTTTAACACTTTTTTTTTTTTTTTAAAAGCTGGTCTGTGTATAGTTCAGGCTGGCCTTTAATTCACTCTGTAGCCTAGGCTGGTCTTGAACTCACAGGCATCCTCCGGCATCAGCCTCCTGAATGCTGGCTGGGATTACAGGTGTATGCAAAGCCTTCCTTTTGAATTCCAAATCCTTAATATAGCCCAACAGAGCCCTTTGCTAACAATTATTTTTCTTTTTCTTTCCATTTTCATTTTGTGCTCTTAATTCTTCAGTTAATCTGCTGCTAATCTTAATGATTTTACACATATTGTTCCCTCTTCTGAATCACTTTCACCCGGCATTTTGCCTCCACATTTCCTATTCAGTCTTTGAGTCTCACCTTAAATGTTAAATATTTAAGATATGTTCCCCCCCAAAAGATATGTTCCCTGAGTTTCCAAATTCTTTTCATATATTATTTCATAGTGGAACTCTTTGTAATTTTATTTACTATAGATTATAATTATGCATTGATATGGTTGGTTGTTTATCCACCCCTTCTTAAAAGTTCATGATGGGCCAGGGATTTAGCTCAGTGGCATGGTGCCTGCCTCACAAGCGCAAGATCCTGAGTTTGATCTCTGATACGGCAAAAAAAAAAAAGTTTGTGATGACCATATACCTATATCTAACAACACGTCAAGTTCTCAAAATGTATTTTGGGGGCTCTCAGAAAGTATTTGTTGATTTAATTAAAGGTCGGATTAAGAATAAATGATGGGGGTGCTGGGGATTTAGCTCAGTGGTTCCTTCACCTGCCTCACGAGCACAAGGTCCCAAGGTCAATCCCTAGTACAAAAAAAAAAGAATAAATGATGGGATGGCTAGAGGGGTACTAGGAAAGCCAGTAGAATATGTCATGGTAAAAGCCAAGAATTTCAAATGTAGCAGGTATCCTAAATGCAGCAGAGACAAAGATCAGGAAATTATCTTTTGTAGGCAGCATAATGTATAATAGTTACAAGGAGCCAGGCAGACCTGGCTCTGCCCTTTTTGTTGTTTGTTTTTAAATCTGTGAAAATTTTACTACTTAACTATATTTAAACAAACATGATGCAGACACAGTTAAGACATATCTTCACCTCCAGCCCCATGTTCAAGACAGAAGACATTAAGAAAGGGCAAAAAGGGGCCGGGGATTTAGCTCAGTGGTTTCACCGCCTGCTGCGAAAGCTCAAGGACCTGAGTTCAATCCCTGGTACCAAAAAAAAAAGGGGGAAAAAAGCTGTCTTCGTGTGTCACAACATGAAAATTGAAATACCAAAGCTAAAGAGCTGAGATTTTGCCCATATCTTTTGCTTTCTAGTCTCGGAATCAAACTTAATAGTTATCAATGCCTTCTATCACTTTAATCTGTATTAAGTTATCATAACTTTTGTTTTTGTTTTGTATTCTGAGGCAGAGTCTTCCTATATAGACCAGGCTGGGCTCAAAACTTTCATTCCTCTTGCCTTAGCCTCAGGAGTTCCAAGATCACAGGTAGGCACCTGTGCCTGGCAGTAGTATTCCTTTGTATATGTATCAAAACTCACACTCAACAGTGAATTCTGGGTTGCAAAGGCTCTCCTTTTTTTGGCCATCAGCCTGTTTTTTCATCTGTAAATAGCGAGTAGTAACTACCTCATGGTTGTGATGCTTAAATGAGATGTGGAAATATTAAGCATAAAACTGCAAAAACTAAAAACTCAGCAAATATTATGAATTTTTATTACTTTTAAGGTACTAATGCTAAACTCACTGTGAGAACTCATTTGTAATATTTATTTTAAAACTTATAGTTGATTTTATATTGCCTTGCTAAATATTGTTCTGTCAACCCTAAGATAGACTGGCTATCCACAAATAAAATGATCTCAAACAGGTGAATTGCCTTCCATTGTGGTTCTGTATTTGAGACTGGAACATTGTATTTTTTATTTTTTTGCTGCACTGTGAGTTGAACCCAGGGCTTTGGGCATACTAGGGAAGCTCTCTACCATTCAGCTGTACCTCTGTTTTCAGAGCACTGTTGACTAAATATATTAGTTTTTTTTTTTAATCAGCTATATTGTTTTTCAGGTGGATATGGAATTAGTATGACAGGTGTAGGGATGGGTAGAGATGTTCACTATGTAGAGGAAATAGGGTGTGCATATAAAAACCATTTTAAATAATTCTTATTCAGAAGTGGGGTGTGTGTGTGTGTGTGTGTGTGTGTGTGTGTGTGTATGTTTCGTCCTGGGGGTTGAGTGTACATGCTAAGCACAGGTTCTACCACTAAGCTGTGTCCCCAGCTGAAAGTTCTACATTTTTATTGCTTTTCCAGATACTTAGTGGTATGTTGCAGAAAATAGTAGCGTTCATAAGTCACTGAGTTGTGATTTGTAAATTTATAGTTAATGTCTTCCATGTTGAGATTATCATCCTTTGTGTTGCTGTGTACATCCTAATAACATAATTAGTGATTTCCCAAAGAGTTTGTTCACAGCTATAATCTGTGCAGAAGGCCTTTGTGCTGTGAAGAGACTGTTTGGTTTCCTTTGACTTTGGACTAGGCTGTTTTGGATTTTTCCAGACATTCGAAAACATACATCTCAAAAGTTTGCATGTGATATGAATGTTGAGTTTGTTTCTTTGAGCAAAGAGATGCTGAGATGCCATCAGTCTTAGTTTTATATTTCTCCTTGGAATTAGATTTCACACTGAATATATTATAGTGGGAACAAAAATAAGTTGTGTAACCATGTCACCTTTGACCCTGGATGGGAAACCTGGATTGTGTAGATATCTTTCCAAAAGTTGAAAGACTATCACTCACAAACAACATTGCTTTGAAAAGTCAAAAAACAGCACCGGGTAGCTGCTATGGGGACTCTTTCAAGCATTTTACATTCAGAAGATTAAAAAGTACTCTTTTTCTTTGGTACCGGGGATTGAACTCGGTCCTTGCGCTTGCACAGCAGGCAGTGAAACCACTGAGCTAAATCCCCGGCCCTTAAAAAGTACCCTCTGCTGTAAAGTATATTCAGAATTTCAGTATATCTTTGTTAGGAGTGTTGTTATGTAGGGTTTGCCAATAGTAATTTCCTGGTTTCAGTGCCTAAATTGACTAACAAAATATGCCTATGTATATACTGTTCCTCCTTCATCAGTTTATGAAAATATAACATTTCTATTTTTTACATACAATTCTGGAGGGGTGATGGACATTTTAAAATTAATCTCTTTTCTGTTTATTGATACCCTGCTGTTTACTAATGTATCACTTGGGTTTAGTTTTTTCCATTATTAGAATGAAGAGACTTCTAACTGGGCGCAGGGATGCACGCCTGTAATCCCAGCACTTGGGAGGCTGAGGGAGGAGGATTGCTGCAAGTTCAAGGCCAGCCTGGGCTACATAGTGAGACACTGTCTCAAAACACAACAACAACAAAAAATGAAGAGACTTGTGCCTCTCCCAGACCCTTCTCTAATGTTTTGATAGTGAATAAATGCAGGTAAAAAATGATTTCAGTTCTTTGGGGAAAATGCTGGAATTTTTTTTTTTGTTTGTAAAGATCGAGGCTCCTGGAATTCTTTCATTACAAAAATTTTTTTTTCAGGGAGATTTTATATGTATTTGTAATTAATAAATATGAAAGCGATTGTTTTTGTGTAAGTTATAAAATGTTGCTTGTTTTTATACCAGAAAGGAATTATTTTAACAACTAACCAAAAAGATAGCTAGCAGGTCCATTTAATTTTTCATTAGTAAGATGAAGCCTGGGATAGTGATTAGATATATTGTATAGAAAACAAGAAAGGGAAAAATAAAATAGAAAAAGGACAAATTGAAACCAATAAGATGTAACTCAACTCAGGTATAGAATTAATTCAACAAACATTTACTATTCTAAGTGCTAGGATACAACACAAAACTAACAAAAGTCCATTTTCTGGTGGAGGTTAAATTTAAATAGAAAGCTATAGACAACATTGTATATCAGATGATGAGAAGAGCATTCAAGTAAATAAAATAGTACAGTGACCATGAGGAGAAGGTGGTTAAATGGGACTTTTTCTACTTTATATAGTGTTCTCAGGGAAGCCTCTTCTATAAGATGTATTTAGGTGAAGACATGAAGTATAAAAGCGAGCTATGCAATTATTGAGGAAAGGCTGGTGGAGTCAGGCAGAAGAACAGCAGTGAAAAGGCCTTGAGTTGTAAGAGTATTTTGTTGTATTTGAGAAGAAGGAAGACTGTAAGGTAGAGTAAATAGGGACTCTGCATTATTGTAAGAACTTTTGACTTAAGCCATTAAAGGATTTGTTTGTCTGTTTTTTGGTACTGGGGATTGAACTCAGGACCTTGTGCTTGTGAGGTAGGCACAGCGCCACTGAGCCAAATCCCCAGCCCTAGAGTTTTGTTTTTGCTTTTGGTTTTGCAGTACCTGAGATTGAACCTTCAGAGCCCCAAAGCATATTAGGCAAACTACCACTGAGTTACATCCTGCTCAGTGGAACAGAATAGTAGATACAGAAATAACTCCAAATACACTCAGCCACCTTATCTTTGACAAAGGGGCCAGATACTTTCATTGGAAGAAAGATAGCCTCTTTAATAAATGGTGCTGGGAAAACTGGCTTTCCACATGCTGAAGATTAAACTTAGGGCCATATCTCTCACCATGCATTAAACTAAAATAGAAATGAATTAAAACTCTAAATATTAAAACAGAAACACTTAGCCAGAGATTTAGTTCAGTGGTGGCGCTGGCTGCCTTGCAAGGTCCTGAGTTCGATTCCCAGTACCAAAAACCTTCTTTTTACCATTCTGTGGGTTGTCTCTTCCTTCTCTTGGTGGTTTCTTTTGCTGTGCAAAAGCTTTTTAATATGATGAGATCCCAGTTGTTGATTCTTTGTGATATTTCCTGTGTGATCAGACTTTGTTTTAAAGTCTCTGCCTACACAGTATGTCTTTAAGAGTTTTACTTATTTTATCTTCCAGCAGATTGTTTCTGTTTTTCTTTTCTTGTCTGTTTTTCTTTTTTTTTTTTTTTTGTACTGGGGATCAAACTCAAGACCTAGCACTTTTGAGATAGGCGCGGCACCACTGAGCTAAATCCCTGGCCCTCTGAAAAAATTTTTACCAGCTGTTACTCAAAGGATAATATCTAGAATATATAAAGAACTCAATCAGACACCTCCCTTTCTAAATCTAAAGACCCACTCCAAAAATAGGCATCTGAAGTGACTAGACGCTTCTCAGATGAAGAAATACAAACAGTAAATGAGTATATGAAAAAATGGTCATTCGAGAGATGGAAATTAAAGCAACAGTGAGATTCCATCTCACTCTAGAAAGAATGGCTGTCATCAAGAAGTCAATCAATAACAAATGTTGAAAAAGGAACTTTTCTCCACTACTGGTGGGAGTGTAAAGTGGTGGAACCAATATGGAAATCAGTATGGAGATTCCTCAAAAAACTGAAACTGGAGCTTCTATTTGACCCAGCTATTCCCCTTTTTGGTATTTTCTCAAAAGTTAGAAGCATCATACCGCAGCAATATATGCACACCCATGTTTATAGCAGCACAATTTTTTAATAGCTTAATCTTGAAAACAGCCCAGATGCCCATCATTGGATGAATGGATAAAGAAAATGTGGTTTTTATTTTTATTTATTTTTTTGGTACTGGGAATTGAACTCAGGACCTTGCGCTTGTGAGGATGGTGGCAGAACCACTAAGCTAAATTCCCCAGGCCTAAAATGTGGTTTTTAATATACAATGGAGTACTACTTTGCCATAAAGAAGGATAAACTTGAGACATTTTTAGGTAAAGGGATGTACCTTGAGATCATACTTTTTACTGCATCATTTCTTGTGTGAGAAACTGAAGATGCAAATAAGAAAAAAGATGGATAATAGATATTGGGAAGTAGAAAGAAAATGTTCAAATAAGAAGGGGAACAAGAGGTGGGGCAGGGGGGAGGAAGGGAAAGGGGAAAAAATAAAAGGAAAAAATGGAAACAAAGCTTTTGTAAAGAGGGGAAGAAGGGTTGGAGGGTGGGGAGAGGAATGGGGGAAAACAAGAATCAGGATACATTATATACAGGTACTAATTCCCTATGATGAACGTGATCTTTTTGTATGTCAAAAGTGTACCTATAAAATTAATTTTAAAAAACAAAAAGGTATCAATATACTATCAAAATATGAATAAAAGGATTTAGTTCTCAAGTTGAGGGATTGCAAGTAGAAGAGAGGCAAAATCTTTAGGAACAGATGCAGGTAGATGGATAGATATGTGGTGGCAGTTTGGGCATTTTTCTTCTGATTTTTTTCTGTTCTCATTGTCAGGTCGGAAACAGTCAGTGAAGATGGGTGGTCTAAAAGAGTGATGGAGTGAATAGATTAGGGAAATGTGTTGGCAGCACTAAGGATCTACTTAAAGTTACTGGTTAGGCATATAAAGTGAGGTCATTCAACGTGGTTGCTTTTCGTAGATTAGCCTTTGTACAGGGCAGAAAAGATATAACTTGGAAGGGCTGGGGATTCAGCTCAGTGGTGCCGCTGCTGCCTCCCTCGCAAGTGCAAGAACCCAAGTTCGATCCCTGGTACCAAAAAAAAAAAAAGATATAACTTGGAAGCATGTTATTGGTAAATTAAGATATTAAGTATGCAGAAAACAATCTGTGAAGTGTAATCAATGTATATTAAGAAAACTTGTGTATAAATTTCTCATTATGAGATTATATAACATAGTCATATAAAATAGAGGAAAAACATTTGCTATATGTCAAACATTGTGTTAAAAAGTATAGGGACCTTAAAATCCATCCATTCATTCAACTGTTTATTATTCCATATGCTGGGGACATAGTGGTAGCAAGCCAGATGTCCCTACATTCATGAAGCTAACATTTTTATTATAGTCTGTTGAGGACGTAGCTGGCACGCATAGAGCAGGGAGAAAAAAAAAGTGAATTTTTCAGATTGTGACCTTGTAGGGATAATAAGTATTTAGGGATGGATCAGGTCAGTGCAAGCTTAAATGTAGATCTGAGGACATAGGTCCACAGTACAGTATCCAGAACCTTTGATGCCTAAAGTTTTGGGGTTCTGTTCATGTTTTTTTCAGTTTTAGAAAGGTAATATAGATTGGGTGAGCTGACACTGTGGTGTGTGTTTGTTTTTTTTTGGTACCGAGGATTGAACTTGGGTCCTTGTGCTTGCGATGCAGGTGGCGGAACCACTGAGCTAAATCCCTGGCCCAGACACTATGGTGTTTGGAAAAGCGCTCTTTAATCAAACACATTAATATTTCTGAATTAAAATATTCTCAGAAATTATGGTAAGATTAAAATGGGTCCAGGTCAGTTTTATCACACTAGTGAGCTATGAAAAAACTTGTTTCTCAGAATATTTTGGTTTTCAGGATTCTGAATCCATCATGAAAAAGATAAAGCTTTGTACTCCTCCACCCCAGTGGCTGGAGATGGAACCCCCACTTTCAGGCAAGTGAGGACTTTGTGCTTAAAAGGAGAAAGCACATCACATGAAAGAAATGAACATGATTTTGCGGGGACAATGAGGGAAACTTGAGTTGACGAAAGCCTCCTAGGAGATGTGTGTTGGGAAGTATGAATGAACAAGTTTGAATAGTTAAATCCAGATTATAAAAATCTTTGGATACTGCTGTGAAGCTGTAAGTGAAATAACAGATAGCTAGAGTTGTTAGGTGGTTGGAAGGTAACTCAGCAGTTTGTGTGACTAAATAGAGTAGGAAAAACTAAAGAGTCCATTCATTTGGCCAGTATTTGTTAAGTAACGTGTATTGTAACAGTATTGTAACTTGTTAATTAGTAGAGTTCTTTTGCTCTGTTGTGATGGAAATTTTGAAGTGACATGGTGTACTGCCATTATAGTAGCTCTGGGCTTTATGAGCCATTGTGGGGGGCCAGGGATGTAGCTCAGTGGCACTGCGCCTGCCTTGCAAGCACAAGGTCCTGAGTTCGATCCCTGGTACCGGGGGAAAAAAAAAGCCATTGGTGCTCAGGTTTTAGGGTTACAGCTCTGGGGCTCTGAGTGTTAGTGGCCTATAGTCATCTGTCTTACAGAACTGGGGTCCAACAAACATTTGCTACGGCTTGACACCACCAGTCACTGCTGTTTGACACTGCTGGTTAACTGGTCACAGAGGTTGCTGGCTGCTGGTGGCCAATTGATGCCAGTTGATGCTGGTCCCCACCAATTGCTGCTGGCCTCTGCCTCCGCTCTGTCTCTTCCCATTTTTGTCACTGATCTTAGGAGCTCTTGAGGGTAGCAGTCCCTAATGTTTATAGCTCATTTTATAATGCTACCTGCTCTCTCCATCCAGGATCTTCCAAGCCCTACTGTACCCAAGAAGTGAGTCATAAGCAGATTTATAGGACCACTGGAGTGAGGCTTTATTTGGATCTGAGCTGCAGCACCAGGGATCAGTACACTAGAGGGAGTTCTCCTCTATTTCCTGATAAGTACCAGGGGAATGCTGCTTATATAGAGCAGCAGTGGGGTTGCACTTGCGCAGCTTTGTACCTTTCACGGGTCTGTGATTGTTCCAAGTTCAGGGCTGCCATGGTGTCATTTGGGAGGCTGAGGCAGGAGGATCATGGCAATTTCAAACTCAGCCTGAACTACATAGCAAGACCCTGTCTCAAAAAAAAAAACAACAAAAAACAACTACCTTGTTTTTCTCTTAGGTTATGTCTGCATGAGCATCAGTTGCAGGTGCTTCTTGGTTGAGTTATAACAGTGATTCTTAAATTTTTTTATTTTCACTGTACACCTTGTTCATTATACATGTGGAATGATATTTTAAATGTATTTATAACTAAATGAATTTAAATTTATTCTGAACTACATTTTGATTTGTTTTAACTTTGATTTTGAATGTTTGTTGACTTCCTTGTCCCTCTCTCCTGATGCCCATTTCCCATGTTAATCAATCGTTGCCTCTTTTCTGATAAATTTTTGTTATGATCTGTTCTGCAGAGAAACAGATGCTGGTTACAAGTTTTGGAAATCCCTGTTTTTTATGGAATACAATTCTATAAAATTTTCATAAGATTCGTTGGCAATAACATACACTTGTGATGGACCCTAGAAATACTGCTATGTTAGGATTGGGTTCTGATTCCGAAGGTTTTTCAAGAAAGAGTCCTTCTGCCATCAGTACTGGCACACTGGTAAGCAAGAGAGAAGTAGAGGCAGAGAACAACACAGAGTGTGAGGAAGAGGATCTTCGCAAGCGGAGTCGAGAGAGAAACATCGAAGCAGGGAAGGATGATGGTTTGACTGGTGCACAGCAGCAGTTTTCTGTGAAAGAAACAAACTTTTCAGAGGGAAATTTAAAATTGAAAATTGGCCTTCAGGCTAAGAGAACTAAAAAACCTCCAAAGAACTTGGAGAATTATGTGTGTCGACCCGCCATAAAAACAACTATCAAGCACCCAAGGAAAGCACTTAAAAGTGGGAAGATGACAGATGAAAAGAATGAACACTGTCCTTCAAAACGGGTAAGTGGAATTTTCAACAATATATGGTCACTGGCAATATTTGGATTTCTCATCTATTAATTTTTATGTAACCTGTATACATATGTACAGGAAGTTTGATTTTAGTCTTTTTATGTTATTTCCAAATAGTATGTCATCAGTGTAATAGCATAACTGTGTATGTATTTTTACTTGTAAAATCATGACATGTTTTAAATGGAGTATATTCAGATTGTTGGTTCTAGTGTGTCTATTTAGATAGGAAACCTAGATTGAAATCCTGCCTCCATATTTACTAACAATGAGATTATGTACAAATTAACAGAGCAGAGACTGAGGATCAAAGTTGTCAAATGGTTGAAATACTGCCTAGCTTTCAGGATGGTTAAAAGGTCGAGATTCACTAACATATGTTGAAAATTTTTATTAAATGAATTGTTTTATAAAGTATTCCTGTTGTTGTGCCTCAAAACAAGTTAATGTACTAAAAATGTCAGCCAAGCACAGTGGCTCTAGTTGTAGCTACTTAGGAGGCTGCAAGTTTGAGACCAACCACCCTGGGCAACATAGTGAGATCGTGTCTCAAAACAAATAAAACAAATGCCTATCTTCCTCCCAGCCCTCCAAATATAATGACTGATTTTCTCTTTGCTCCTCTCCCATTCCCATTCCCATTCCCATTCTTACAAGGTCTTGCTGGGGATGTAGCTCAGTAGCACAGCGCCTGCCTGGCAAGTGCAAGGCCCTGAATTTGAATTTGATTCCCAGTACCAAAAAAGAAAAAAAAGAACGAAAGTAGAGACAAGGTCTTGCTCTCTACTTTAGGCTGGCCTTGAGCTCACTATGTAGTCTAGGCTGGCCTTGAACTTTCAGGGATCCTCCTACCTCAGCCTCCCAAGTGCTGGCATTACAGGTATGCACCACCATGCCTGGCCTAATTTTCTTAACTGTGTTTACTTTATCTAGTAAAGATAACAGATCTGTGTTACATCATGTTAACCACACATTTTAGTTACTTTATGCATTACTTAATTTCATACTGTAAGCACCATGTGTGACTGCACACAGAATTAGATAGTATTCATACACACACACACACACACACCCTCCACATGACAGTGGAGCTACGAAAAGAGTTGATTTAACATTTTGGCTAAAATTTAGGAATATTCCTCATTGTATGCAATGGCTTGATTTTTAACATTCTTTATTGTCAAATTTGTGTGCTTTTTTGGGTGTTACCAGAAACCATAATGCTGCAGGCAATTTATTCCTCTCCAAATTACTGTGGCATCCAAAACTTTTTAATACTTGTTATCTATAAGATCATAGAGATATGAGAAAGCTTGGTATGATTTGTTGATAAAATTATGTGAATAAGTAAATTATAGGGTAGGAAAAAAATGAGTATATTGTACCAGTTCTTTAAAAAATTTCTTGGATAAAACATCGATAAATTGATCAACCTATCCTGAGCCTTATTTCTGTGTGTATGTGTTATTTTTGGGGATTGAACCCAGAGAGCAAGGAGCTACATCTGCAGGCCTTTTTATTTTGAGACAGAGGTTTACTAAGTTGTCCTTTGATCCTCTTGCCTCAGCCTCCTGTGTAGCTGGGAATAGAGATACCAACTTATTTTATTCATTTCTAAAATGAAGATAGGGGCTGGGGATTTAGCTCAGTGGTTTTGCCACCTGCTGCGCAAGTGCAAGGACCTGAATTTGATCCCTGGTACCCTCCCCCCCCACAAAAGAAGAAAATAATATGTGATTTTTTTTTAATTTAAATTTTTTTATTTTTTTGGTTTTTTTGAGACAAGATCTTACTATGTAGTTCAGGCTGACCTTGAATTCACTATGTAACCAAAGCTGACCTCGAACTCGTGATCCTCCTGCCTCAGCCTCCCATGTGCTGGGATTACAGGCATGCGCCACCACATCCAGCAGTATCTGATTTTAAAATAACATCTTTATTGAGATGTAATTCACATATCATAATAAGTTACCCACTTAAATTAAATGATTTTTGTTATATTAATTTTTTTTGTACTAGGGATTGAATTTAGGACCCCTTGCTTGCCAGGCAGTGGCTGTGCTGCTGAGTTACATCCCTGGCCCTGTTACATCAATTTTTAATCGATGTAAAGTGTATGTAATATAGAATTTATTATTTTAACCACTTTTAGGTATAAACTCAGTGGTATTAATTAAATTTCCACTATTGTGTGACTATCACTACACTTTCGAAACTTTTTCATTACCCCGGAACAGCAACTATGTAACCATAAGCAGTAACTCCCTAGTAACTAATAATGTCTAATGTACTTGTCTTTGGCCTATTCTACCTACCCCGTTCCTGTATCTGTACGTACATGACGTACTATACAATATTTGTTTGTTTGTTTGGTTTTTTTGTTTGTTTGTTTGGTTTATTTTACTTAATATAGTGTCCTTAAGGTTAATCGTGTTGTAGTGTGTGCGAGGGTTTATTCTTTTTTTTGAGATGGGGTGTTGCTATGTAGTTCCCACTGGCCTTGAACTCTGCGTGGCCTCAAATTCACGGCAGTACTGCTGCCACAGCCTCCTGAATGCTGGGATTACAGGCATGTGCCACCATGTCCTGCACTTACTCCTTTTTATGTCTGAATAGTATTGTCATATGAATATTTGTAGAGTCTGGGCAGGAGCACCATCAGTTCGAATGAACCCACACATCATCTTAGAGAAACATAGGTTTCATTTTTTTTTTTCTGGTACGGGGAATTGAACTCAGGGCCTTGTGTTTGCCAGGCTGACCCACTCCCTCAAAAGCTCCCCAAAAAACGATATTAAAAAAGTGTCTTAGCCTGTAAGAGACACCTCTATTCTGCTCTCACAGAGAGGTCCCTCTCAGGTTTAGCCATAAACCTGCTTGGACTGTTGAGTTCATGTTCCCTCTTTCCCACTCAGATACACTTTTTTATTTTTAATCACTCCTCTGGCCAGGTGTGGTGGTGCAGCCTGTAATCCCAGCACTCTGGGAGACTGAGGCAGGAAGATTGCAAATTTGAATCCTGGCTGGAAAATTTAGCAACTCAGTGAGACCAAGTCTCAAAATGAGAAAAGGGCTGGTGATGTTGCCAATACAGGGGGTGGGCACGTGGGCGAGATCATCTGTTGTTGGAATCTTATTTTGCCTCCACCTTTGGCTGTAGTGAATAATGCTGCAGTACAAATATCTGTTTTGAGATCTTGGTTTCAATTCTTTGGATATGTATAGTCATCCCTCTGTATCCTCAGGATTGGTCGCAGGACCCCTTTGTATGCAAAAATCCTTGGATTTTTCAAGTCCCTTATATAAAATAGCATAATATTAGTATATAATCTACACACGTTCCTGTATATTTTAAATCATTTAATTACCTTTAATACCTAATGCAATGTAAATGATATGTAAATAGTTGTTATATGGTACTGTTTAGGAAATAATGACAAGAAGAAAGTCTGCACATGTTCAGTACAGATGTATTTTCTCTTTGAACATTTTCAGTTCAAGGTTGGTTGAATCCGTGCTTTTGGATCCCTTGGGCAGTGAGGGCTTAGAAGTGGAGTTGATACATCATTAGGCAATTCCCTGGATAGCATTTTGAGACAATATCAAGCAGTTTTCCATAGGTACAACCCCACTTCATGTTGTCAGCAACACAAGGGTTCCACTTTCTTCAAATCCTCGCCTTTCTTCTTTTCTTTCCGTCTTTGTTTTCCCTTCTTTCTTTGCCATCCTAAAGAATGTGAAATTGTAGCTCCCTGTGGTTTTTACATTTCCCTGATGACTAATGATTTCAGCATCTTTTTACATGCTTATTGGTCATTTGTGTGTCTTCTTTATAGAAATATCTACTCAAATCTTTTGACCATTTTTGAGAGGTGGTGTTGAATTTTCAGAATTCTTTTCTGTGAATAGACTTGAAAATATTTTTTCTCATTCTGTGGGTTGTCTTTTCACTCTTGATGTAAAATATTTTCTAATTTTGACTGAAAACTGAATGATGTCTACTTTGATTTTTATTACTGATGCTTCTGATGTCATATTGTCACTGGCCAGGGTCTGAGCTGAGGAACCTAACCCCTTGTAAACATAGAATGCTTGGAGGTTTGCTGACTCCTATCATGGAATAAGAATTTTTAGGGCGCATCAGTAAGAGGCAGGAACTCAGAGAAATGAGCCTCACTATGGTTTGGAACCGGGAGTCTGTCTGTGTTCTGCACAGTGGTAGTTCATGGTCTTGATTGGGGGGGTGGCCCACTGTAGTAAGTTGATGGTCCATGCATGGGGCTAATCTGCAGGTGAAAAAGTGCTGCACTTGTATATTGAAGTTGCAGTTTTCATTTGTAAAATTAATGATTTTCCTTATTGCCTTTCTGCCTCTTTTTTTATTTCTTCTGTCCTACTCCAGTATCTTAGAAATAAGTAGCAAACGTAATGTGTGAAAATTTTCCATGTTTTCTTCTTTTATGGTTTTAGCTTTTATGTGGAGGTTTTTATATTTGTTTTTACTTTGAGACAGGGTCTTGCTTTATAGTTCAGGGTGGCCTTGAATTCCTGTCTTAGCCTCCCGAGTGCAGGGGTTATAGGTGTGTGCCACTTTGTCTGGTTACATCAAGGATTTTGATCCATCTCAAGTTAAATTTTGTATAGTATCCAAATTTAGGTATAAGGATCCAACTTCATTCTGTATTACATGTGGATATTCTTTTTTTTGGCACCATTTGTTGTATCATTTCCAAGTTGAATGCTTTTGGATCCTTGAAAAAAATAAATACTAACCATGTATGTGGGGGTTTGTTTTTGGACTTCTGTTCTATTCCATTGCCTCGCAAGGGCAAGCTCCAGAGTTCAATCCCCGATGCCAAAAAAAAGAAAAAAAAGAAAGTATGGCTATTCCATTGATCTGTAGTGATGTGATTAAAAACTACAGTGAATGATAACATTTTTATTATTGTACAATAAAAGACACATTGCCTTTAATCCCCCTTGAAATA